CAACATATGTCCATTTCGTCAATTTATTTATATTACAAATGCCTCAATAAACCAGGCCAACATGCAAAAATATATTATCTGTTAATTTGCAATTCAGAGTAATAAAGCAAAGATGCATCAAATCTAAAACAAGTCGAGGAAGCGACAACAGGAACCGTGGAAACACCGAAACATTTAGTATGTGTTTTATGAGACAAATTACGAGACCATGTTTTCTGGAAAGGGATCAAGTATTCCCTGTATGGCGTATGGCAGACGTTCCTGTCTGATCCGTAGCAAACGACCTTCAGACATTTAACAATGAACATTAATCAAGACGAAATACTATAGGGGACACCAGCAGATGATGATGACAGTTGCAGAATGTATTAAGTGCATTTGGATGTATTTCCTGCTACAAAGTTGGTTTGAAAGTTACCATAATTACTTAATACCGTGTAATTAATTCAGAAATTTTCCCCATCATATTTATAATCCCTCTAAAGGTCTAATAAACACATGTGATTAGCAGAATGACTATTATCCGCATATAAATGTGTATTTCTCCATATAAATCTCCAAGTATGAAAATGAGTATAACATATTTGCAAATAATTGGCATCCTTAATACCTTTAATACCAGATAAAACAGCCTGGCATATAGCTAACCCAACATGTACAAGGGACAACGTCAAGGCGATACAAAGCAAAGCTAGGTGCAATTTTCTGGAATAGTTTTATCTTCAAGAACAGTCACGACTAAATAGAATTAATCTATCTCACTAAATGCCAATGTTCCAAATAATCTATAAAATGACATATTCTTAGAAAACTTTCACGGTTTCAAAATTATAAAAAACAAAACACCAATCTTCATTCATTCAATCACACAAACATTCTCTACCAGTAAGTGGTTTACATATCTAAAGTTCTTAGGGCGTTAAGGGCCATTTCTGGCCTCGTCGGGGATTTAGAAATAGTTGTTATATTCTTAATCTGGAATAAATGAAGGACGCAAATATGAAATTTCAGATTTATACGACAACTGGTTGAAGAGTTTTGACATTACAAAGAGAGGCATAAACCCGCATTTTCATAATAAAATGTGTGAATATCGTCTGTTGAATATTTGGTTGAAAATTGGCAATTTTGAAGCAAATTAACAAAATGCTCTTCACTTTTTTAAAGCCTCCGCATGCACCAAAGAAATTGTTTGACATGCTTAAACCTTGTCATACCAGTGTTTATTCGTAGAAAGGAATTTCGGTTTGTCACATGCAAGGGCATTCATTTCTGCTTGTCAACTGTCCAAAAACACCATATTTTGGCTATTTCTGCTTAGCAACGCAATTTTGTTGCTATGGTAGGGCATCGACACGGACAAAAGTCTGCACAAATTTGTAAATACATTCAAGTTGAAATTTTTACTTTTATAAGACCAAAATGACCCATAACATCTCAAATCCTTTCATTGATTGTAGAAGATGACATTTAAGAAAATGCTTTTAGCTTCAGGAAAAAATCTGGCTCATACGATCTTTTCCAAAGTAATGCGAAAGCCATTGTTTAGAATTCTAAGCGATGGCATATTCCCTGCTGTCCAAATTGCTATCATATGTGAACAAAGACAGCAGAAATCCGAAATCGTGATTGCTCGTGTATCAATTTCATTATCATATCATGAGAGATGTATATGTCTGTAAAATATTCTTGATGTAAATAGAACCTGATACAACATCGATCGACCAAGGAAATCATGCAAGCATCCAATTTCATAAACCAGGCTTGCATATATATAGTGATTGCATTCCTCATGACCCTTGACCCATCAAAGATCATGAGGAATGAGTTTTAATTATACATACGCTTTGTAATTTTGACATCTTGAAAGTAAAGAGATGCAGATACAACACTAGGGAATAGTTTTAGGGAAGTTTCCTCGCAAAGGGGGTAGTAATTACCCTATTTTCGATGAAACTTCCCCATTTTCGATGAAACTTCCCCCAAAAAGTTTTATTTCCCCATTCCCGGTAGGACTTCCCCTTTTCTGTGAAATTTCCCCTTGGTCCGCTGAAACTTCCCCTTTCTGCTGAAACTTCCCCTTTCTGCTGAAACTTCCCTTTTCTGCTGAAACTTCCCCTTTCCGCTGAAACTTCCCCTTTCCGTTGAAACTTCCCCTTTCCGCTGAAACTTCCCCTTTTCGCTGAAACTTCCCCCCAGGCACAACGGTCACCTTTACCTGTACACCGATCGACTGACCGACCATGCCTGACAGCTGTAGCGACAGTGAGCGCCTGTCAGTCTATTAATAGATCTGGTGAGAAAGACTGGTTTACCTGTGACGATACCTTACCGTTGTTCAAGCCAGTCAGTTAAAAACAATGCTCCGACTTTTGTGTATTTATAATGACATATCAAACATCGATGTGTTTCGATGACTACTATATATAAATAAATCATATTTAAGTGCGATTAACCAACATTGAAAAGCGCTTGTTCTTATGTAGTTTATGTTTGCGATTCTTGTGTAATATTATATTTAAGTACGATTAACCAACATTGAAAACCGTTTGTTCTTATGTAGTTTATTGTTTGCGATTCTTGTGTAAACAGCCGAGTACGGAATGTTTTGCTGTGGCTATACCTTACCGTTGTTCAAGCCAGTCAGTTAAAAACAATGCTCCGACTTTTGTGTATTTATAATGACATATCAGACATCGATGTGTTTCGATGAATACTATATATATATATATTGTCGAAATATGAATAAAGATCGTATCTTTAAGTGTTTTCAGGTGAAGCCTCGGACGACATCGTAAATTGCTAATTTGTCTACAATAATAACGCATCAGGTGATTTGGTACTCAGTCGCCCCGGGTGACAAGTTTTAATCCCTGTCAAACGTCAATCACACCTCAGCACAGTAGCCCTCCTGTCATAATGGGCGGAGCTTACGCAATACGCCGCATCATGCGACTGATTGGATGGTGTGTATCGTCGAGGTGCGGCCCACTCATTTCGACAAATTTTCGTGGTTTTTTTTTTGTTTTCATAAATATGAAAAACAAAAAAGGTGGTTGTATTAAATAAATGAC